TACGGATACACCATCAGTCCGTGGGAACAGAATCTACAGAGATATATATGCAGGATAAATGGAGTAGTATTCGAAATATAGAACAGAACCAATAGAAAGAGGACCTTGAAATTCAAATGTCCCGAAGCGTACGTCCCCCGGGTCCTGATCCAGGTCACATATGGAGACGTTGTGATGTCCACACTATCAACCAGGTAAACCCGTTACCGAGTACCAGACGACGAATTATTGCCGAGCAATCCCTACATCTCGGCTTTACACCCCTCTGAGTTGAGGGCTGAGGCTGCAGAGGCAATAATACCCCGCAAAGGATCCCGACACTCTCCACTGTCTCCAGCATTTTAACATTCTAGGCTCGAATGAGTGACCACGTGAGAGTGGGAATGCGACCTCGCCCGCACCTGTGAGATACAAAGACCTCACCTCTTCCAGACCTCCCAAGATTCCAAGGAAAGCTTATGCATTGGCAGTCTAAGTCACCGTTGGCGCGCTTGTCGGGAGTCAAATACGCCTTTCCCGGATCGGATAGGAACCGTGACATTCCCTGGGGGGAGCCGAGGCTGCTTCGGGCATCCTGTGGCCGTGGGCTTTCGTTTTCAAGCCGGGGCCCCAGGCCCCAGGGTGTTCAAAGCCCGCTGCGGAGAGCCTTTCTCCGCATTGCTTAGACGGGTGCGAGACCTGGGGTACGGGCCTTTCGCAAACAAGGGTCAAGGGGTAGGGAGTCAACGAATCACGATACACCATTAGCCGGCATCTACATGTGTAGTACCTACCTAGTGTAGTGTAAACTGGATGAACTATCTACACCACACCGATGGTGTGGCGGTGATATTGGTGTGTATGGGGTTCTCCAGACTCCAAGTCATTGATAAATATACGGGGCTTCTTATTTACAAAAGTACACTTAAAAGACTGCAATCTGTGAGGCAACAATGTACAGCCAGAAGGAGAGAAGATGAAGAAATGAGGCGTTAACTTGCATAGGCTGTTCGCCATGCATTTAGCCCGGCGAACCCTGTGGTCTAAGGTTTTGTGAACGTTTGTGACTTTGATAAGACAACCGTGGGCGGCGAAGTCTGTCAGTGTCTCTCTTGATACCAGTATCATTACTCTTTTAGACTAATACTGTCCAGAAATTGACGAGAAACCGACAATTCTTATTATCAGTGATACGTCTCATCCCAACCCTTATCTATCAATCCTAACAGGTGGCAGATAGTATTGAACGAACATACAAGCCAGACCAATAGCAGAAGGTCCTAGTCTTCACGTCTTTACAGCCTTTTAGTTGCTAGCCATATTGGAGTACTAATAGTATCCATAATTCGACGATCATCCAAGGGTGTCCATGATTATACAGGCACCCCGTGTTAGTGAACCTCCTAGGATACGGTCGTTTTATTGCTTGTACTTGATCGAACGACGTTCAAGAAGTAAGAAGCCTCTTGAACAACGTTTAATGACTCTTCAGAGTCAAGGACTCTTGACCTGGCCTTTGATGCTAGGTTCTTGACCGCGGAGAGTTGAGAACGAAGACTTCCAACCCTAAGAAGGCCTGGAATCTTACGATGACGGGAAATCACGAAGAGTCACTGGACGAAATATGCCGGTGCTGTTATTTACATATTACTGCATACCTAAGGTACACGGGTCGACTTCTAATCCTACCCACTTTGTTTTGATCTTGTAGAACTCCAGAGCCCTCTTTTATATTCCTCGGCATCGAAAGGACGTTTCTTCTCGTCAAACGCATTCCGCAAAAACGAGAGGTCTTCGGTTGTCTGGGGATGATACCAATCTATAAGACTTTTGATAAGTAACATCACTGGGTCTGATCCCTGGGATTTAGTCTCGGATCATATGCCATCGTAATGTACACGAAATGATGAGCGTCGTGTACTGCGCAAGCATAGCTATGTCTTACGCGATTATCTATGAATCATGGGGGTCCCAGACTCGAATCGTACTTTGCGTTTTTGACCGTACTTTCTTACGCAGCTGGCCTTCAGAGTAAGGTAAGGTACAGTAAGGAAACGTAAGTACCTTACCTTAGGTAAGGTACCTTATGGCAGGTACGTATGCGATGGTAGTGTAAGGATGCGCGTCATATGACATCACTACCTTACCCTTACAGATCGCCCTTCCATGATCAATCCTGGACCGCCGCAGCGGATATATCAGGACGTCCTCGACCAGGCTTTTAACGTCTCCTTCTCTTACACACATCGCAGCACGCATCCAAAAACCATTCCCAAACAAGACGAAAACTTAGACACCACCACACAACACCACACCACCGCATTACCTTCTCAACCAGACATCCATCACCATGGCTTCCCAGAACAACCCCATTGATCCCACCGGTGCCAAGGCCACAGGTGATACCTCCTCCGCTGGAACCAAGCCCAAGGCCTTCGATGAACAGGGTGCCGTTGGTCATCAGTTCACCGGTACGTTTTTCCTCCCATCCAGGGCTCCCGTGAACACGAATCTGCCAGGCAGGCCGCATCCTAGGGACGCATACTAATTCAGTGTGGCCATAACAGAACAAGGTGCTATCGGCGGAACCGCTCAGAAGGTGGGCGGCCCTTTGTCGTCCGAAGGCATGATCGGCAAGCAGTTTACTACGGAGGGCGCCATTGGCGGCAATGTTCAGGAGGCTATGGGCGGCCAGAAGAAGAAATAAAGCCTGAAAAGTGCTTATCATTATGAGGAATGGGAATTGTACGACTTGTAACGATAGTTCAACGACTTTGCTTTTTCCTTTAACAGTTGAGAGACACGGCGGTTACTCCTAGGCGCTTCGCTGAACCTGGACCTCGTATCTCTCTGAAACCATGCTGTATCTGATAAGGTCCCCAGCTGAATGTACAACACAATGGTTGATGCTCCTGACTCTTCGAGCCACCGAGTGATATAATATATTCTTTATATTCCCTTTTGTAGCTCGATGCCTTGTTGTATTACCCAAAGAACTCGTTATCTCGAGACTTATACACGCACTGGCGTCGCATACCTTCGTGACTGGCAAGTTCAAAGTCCTTTACCTGAACATGATGTCTAATATAAGGTAGGTGACTTGATCGTATAACACTGGAGAACCGTAAATAAAAACTTGTCCTGCTTACCTTTGCGTACATTATCACATACGATGGTACTCGTAGGCAGTATCACGTAGAAAGTTATGAACTTGCACCACCAGAAGTCATGACGATTCCATGTCACATGCGTTTTGACATGCCTGTGACGTCCAGGCCCGTTAGAGTTTCACGGTAGGCGGAATCGACCCGAGAAACGCCGAGCAGTAACCACTACATAGGTACCTTAAGTGCCGGTATGTTCTTCTACCGTCCGTAATGTAGGAGCATGTAGTACCATGCTGTCGTGCTGGCCAGTGCTACTTAACGCTACTCAGTCATAGAATTGTCAGACAAGTGAAGTTTGGCTGCCTCAGGGGTGGAGACGTCCATCCAGTCTGCAGAGTTTCAGACCTCGCAGAAGCGGGGAGAATCTCACATTGTCACCTGGCCTCTCTCGACTCGGATTAACTCTCAAGATCACCAGTCGCTAGATACCTCTTCGACTACCTACCTTACTTTACTATCCACTTCTCCTCAGCTCTCCTTTGAATTGATGGCTCGATAACCAAACACTTGAGTTTGAAAGATCGTTCTGTTGAACACGTGAAAAGACACGACCACGGCCACAATGTTCATCCTAGATGTACTGCATCGCGTCCTCGACTACCTGATATCATGGGTGTATCCGGTAAGAAAGAACACATCGATCAGGCTCATATGTTGCAACCACGGGGAAACAGAGATGGCCGATGACCATCTTGCTACGTAGAACGGAGCTCTGAGATCGCCAATGGTGCCGTGGGGCCCTACGGAAAAGATGAATCCGCCCCGTAGCCGTATCCCATCTCGGTGCATCGTCCTCAAGGATGCCGTTTGTCCCGGTGATTAACGTCTTGCTGATGTACAAAGGCATGTCCCCGTAACCCCCTTTCCCCTGGCTAGCTCCCCATTCGTTCCCGGCGCGCTCCACGGCGAGTTTGTCCGGGTCGGCCCTAGCATAAACCCCCCGTACCGTGCTGTCGGAGAAAGAGTCCCACAAGACGGCCCCGAAACCGGCAACGCAGTCGGAGGACGGGTCGGTTGTTCTTGGTCTCCAGCTTGCGCGGCGTTCTCACCCCTTTATTCATGACGGGCAACTATCGTGCTGTCGTGCAGATAGAATGCCGGAGAGCAGCCATGGCACTTTTATAGTGAATGAACCAATAAATGATGATTGGCAGAGAATCTTCCGACGCTTCATGTTCGCCCTTTTCGAACGTTTAGATAAGGTTAGCGGTGTCTTGCATGAGGGTAGTTTAATTTCTCGATCCAGGGTCAACAACCATTCTGAATAGGTGTCCGGGCATAATCAGGAGCACAAGGAGCTCTATATGTTACTTTCTTGGTAGTGTACAGGAAAGGGGAAACAAAAAGACATCTATTCATATTGTAGCAATATTCATCCTCAGTACACCGAACTCCTAAACCTCGACATAGATCGTGCTGAAATGAAAAGGAAAGCCATTGTCGTTTCCCCCGGTCAGGTTACTACTGACCATACATAGAACGCAGTTGTTTTCGGTAAAAATGGGAAGTCCCCTCAAGATTGGCCATCGTCGAAAGAAGAACAAGAGTCTAAAGAGAAGAGTCGTGAAAGCCCTGGAGACGCAACAACAGAGGAAGAAGTAAGAAGAGCCAATGCAAGACGCCAGCCTAACGACGACCGCTGCTAGCTTGGCTCCAAGCACGGTCCCAAGCAGACAACTGCCTCTCTATAGAGCCCGACGACCTCGTGGGTTGACCAGTGACTGCGAAGCGTTCCGCAGGGTTCTGGGTTGCGACGTATGCAGCGACAGCGTACCGCCCGAGCTGTCTGTTGATGCTGCTGCTACCGCCAGAGGAGGAGGCCACTGGGGAGGTTTGGGAGGACCTGAGAGCCAGAGTCAGCCAGACGGGACACTGAAGGGACTTTTGGGTAGGCGGCTGATTATTCAAAACTCACGTTCTAATGCGTGACATGACGAATGAGCAGAGGGCGCGTTTGAAAGGGGAGGAGGCAGCGGACTGCGAGTCAACCCCAAGTATGCCCGGCTTCCGTGAGTTATTGTCTGGGCCACGGGTAGGGCTCCGATGGGAAGAGGAACAAGAATGGAGGGTTTGGGCTAAGACGAGGAGATTCAGGCGAGGACGTTCTTTTACGCGGACAGTCCTCAAGAATAAGCTGCGCGAAAGAGTGTAAGACCAGAGGGAAGTAATTCAGAATCTGTTGTGGCAGAGATGGAGGTTATATGGACGAAGAAGACCGAGAAATACCACGATGTCGGTCGAGGAGAGACGAGAGATGGTCATTGTCGGTATCTTGAAGCCCAACTCCAAGTGGAAGTGGAAACTTGACCATAGCACAGCCAAAAGGCTTGGAGGAGTTCAGAGTTCCCGGCAGCATCCACTCACACCGAAGACGAAGAGGAAAAATGGGGGTTGTTCTACGAGAATCTGGAGTATGAAAAGAGGAAGAGTCCGGGGGTCCTGATGGGCGCCAAGTAAGACATGGGAGAACGCAGAAACACAGAAAAGCAGTCGTCTCTCAGGTGGTGGGTCGCCCTTTTCTGTATACCGAAGAGAATGGCAGAGAATGGTCTCGGTCAGCAGTCCTCACCGGAGAGGGCGAGGCTCGGAACAGCGTAGTTTGCGGCATGGACAAAGAGGTTGGGCGGCTCAAGAATTTGCTAGGGCAAGGTTAACAGGTCAGGTAGGAAATACGTAAAGAGGAGACGGAGAAGATTGGGGCGGGCGACGGGGGAGATGGACTGGGTGAATATAATTATGCGGCAGTGAGGTGAGGAAGCCCGCCTGGACCAGGGATAGATCACAAGAGGAGGAAGAACCGGCGAGGAATCGGTGAGGCCAAAACAAAGAAGAAGAAAAAAAACCCCCGCCCCATACATAAAAAATAAAATAAAACGAAAGCGAAAGCGAAAGCGAAAACGAAACAGGAGGCAGAGGGCCGGGCACTATTAGGCATAATCAAAACCGCGCCAGATATTGATCCGAGCGTTCTCAACAAGGTATCGACAGACAGAGCGCGGGAATATCAGGAATATCACAAAGGAAGTAGAAAAAGGAAATAGAAATAATAAAAAAGGTGGGTGGAGGCCCGAAGGAGAGGGAAGGGCCAGCAATGAGAAGAACTGGAAAAAGATGAGAAATAACAAGGGGCCACAGCCAAGGAGACGAGGAGGATTCGGTGGGATGCGATCTTGATCGAATCCGCTGCACGTGATATCACCTGCCACTTCTCTGGGTCTTTCGCACAAAAGAGAGATCGAGCAATAGGTGGGCTAGAGCGTAGAGATTGGCAGTGCTTCGTGGAGAAGTACGTACGTGTATTTGGTTGGTGAAAATAAGAAAATGACCCGGGGTGTCTAGCAAAGCGTGGGGGTTATTTAACAGCAACCGATGACGGACGTTGTCGGTCGCGAAAGAGTTGTTGCGGACGACATGATCAGCACTAAAAGCTAGTCCTCCAGCCGTGGCTGGAGAGGGCGAAAAGGCGACGACCGATGGATTATGCCGGCGTTTTCGGTGAGAAGTACACGTAAAGGTCATTCGGCGCCGATCCTCCAAGAAGTCGGTCCGTCAAGCCCTGCCCCGGGAGACAATACGGGCGGTATGATTTGAAGGCTTTTATTGTTTTACCGAGTCGACGGGGACTTGACGTGGTGAAGGGGAAACATTGGATGTGGTTAATGGTGGTGATGGTGGTATAACGGTATAATGGGTGGAGGTGTGGATGTGTGGCTGTGCCGCGTTTGGTGGGGAGGGAGCAGAGCGTGGGCCACGTCCGCGGTCTGTGCGTGCGGCTTGCCCGTGGCTACAGTACAACCAACGTACACTAGACCCAACGGCCTATAACGTAATCGCGTCGTTGTTCCCAGTTTCTGGCCGTTTTTGGGTTCCCTCCCAGTCAAACTCACCTCCATCACCGCAACAACAAACAAGATCGTTCAACGCATAACCTAATCAACGTCCACACATCTGAACGCCGCGACACTCATATTTCCTAGTCGTCTCTCTTCAACCTTGTTGCCTATTCCCGACTGCGATTTAATGATTTAATTGATGAATGCAACAGACACCCCACCCCGTCCGGCAGCCACCAGCCATCCGCCAGACACCCGCCGGCGATTGACGATTCCTGTTTGTCCCTTGCCAAAGCATATCCAGAAATAATGCGGTACTCTACGAGGGAACCCGCCGAGAAAACAGATGTATGCAGATACAAGAGTATAAGAGTGTATCCTTATATCATGACGAAACTCGATTTATAGACTCGTCCAGATCAATCTCCAGGACCGCATGTCCCGTCAATATGCGGTGCAGTCTTGCAGCAGAGCCAGGGGCGGAGCTGACTCGTCGGTGGGTTTCTGCGACGCATAAGGCAAATCGTCATTCCACGACGTATTTTTGCATTTTTGCACCTTGACGAATCGCCCACCATTCATTGGTTTCCAAGACGTGATAGCTCGACCAAGATTACCAACATGCGGATACAGATTCATCAACCGCTCCCCGACGCCAAAGAACTGACGCCGCTCGCAGGCATAGCCGCCAGCCGTCCACCCTCCCGCCCTCCCCGCCTTGGCCGTCGCGGCCACTTCCGCCGGCCGAATCCACTCGCTAAACCTTCCCCAAGTCCCCCAACCCCTGCCTTGACACCCTCTCGTAGGGCTCTCGAACAGATCGTATCTTGATTCCACCGACCGCCATCACCAACCCCT